GTATAATGAAACTTATTCGGTATGCGATCGTTATGGTTACATAATGAATTTATTTAAGTAATATTTATTTGCTTTTAGCCACAAGTTCTTGCAATATCTCTCCAGAAAAAAAATTGCGAATAATATTACTATTCTTTAAAAGAAATTTATTTGATTCTCTGACTTTATTAAACTTTTATCTTTATACGTATGCGTTATTAGGCTATCGATGGCGCCGTATCGATAAACCTTTTTTTTTTTGTTTCGCTTTGTCTCACAGAGATGACTGTTCCGCATTTGGGTTTAACGAACTCACACGAATTTACTCACATTTACACATCACATACATACTCGCACACATACACACGTTTTTTTGAACGACACAGTACACTAAACGTTTGAGGAAAAATGGAAGCAAGACGCAAACTAGTTTAAAAATAATAAGAATAACTACTAGAGCGATTCTTTGGTTTATTTCAAGTAAAAAAGTCCATATATAAACATGTCCATATAAACAATTTATTTATTTGAAGGAAATACAGCTTGAACCAGTCAAAAACTAGTCAAAAACAGAAAAACAAAAACAGGCTTCTTCTGATGAAATAAAACAATTAGACGAATTGTTGAAAATCTCCACCTTACGCCATGATACATTCATCTCTTCTTCTCAAAGATTGACGTATCTGCTCAAAGATACCAGGTGTGTTACGTATTGCCTCACATGAAGCAACTATTCGATTCTTCAAATCGTTCTCATTCTCAATCGGGGTGGTATAAACCAACGATTTCAGATGCCCCCAAAGGAAATAATCTAAAGGATTTAAGTCTGGTAAGATATAGGAGGCTTTGACTTTGACTTCGTCACTTTGTGTTTACGGTTGTGCGACTGATAACTCACGCGAAGCAAGGGATATTTATCTCTCGCAGGAAGATATCTCCAACGCAATTTACCGTTTCGTCAAACGTTTGCGAACATTCACCTGTACTGCGGAAAACTAAGCCGTTTAGGACATATGGACCTTTCCACTTGAAACAAACCAAAGAATCGCTCTGGTCAGTATGGCAACATACTTAACTAACATCCTATATATATATATATCCCCTAATTAAAAAGAAATCTTTCGCTTTGTCATGTTTCTGTCCCGCCCAAGCAAGACCCTGCTGACTGCGGTGATTACACCAATCCCTCATCTTAATACCTTGACGATATTAATATACATGGAATGAATACGTGTATATGTACGAGTATATTCCGTGGGCCACTAAGTAACATGTTTATTATACGTATATGAAAAGTCACGTGCTACGTACCGCGCGCATACATAATACAGTTATGGTCGCGTGTGCACGTAGAACGACGATGCTGATGTGTACAACCTGAACAGTCCGCGCGATCGCATTACCATACATATTGATCCATTCTAGAAAACGCGCTCGTAGAAATCGTCTCTCCGCCGGACGCGTTGGCCCCCGGTATATTTTGACAATGTTCGTCCTCCGGTTACGCTTCTCGATTTTTTTTTTTTTTTTTTTTCCACGGTCTATGAGTCACTTCGCTCTCCTGTGCGCGTTTTTATCGATAAAAATAATATTCCCGACGCCGGAATTTCCTATTCGCGTTCTACTCGCCATGCCGCGATACGTATGTGCTGAAAAATTTGGAATACCCTAATCGATGAAAAAAACCTTAACACTTATATCGCGAAACAACTGAAGACGCCTCAATGGCAATACACGTTCGTCCCAAATTCGCTACGCTACGCTCATCCGCTCGTACACGCGACTCGACGTTATCGTTTACCGTATCCGGAGCACGCTCTTGCGAAATGTCTATTATTTTCTACACGCGGAGAAACGTACGCTTGGAGTATAAAAGGAGACACAGGTGCAACGAAAGGAAAACATATACCTGCTCGTTTAATTCAACGCACGTAACTTGCGATTTATATTCAACAAGACCGGATCGAGAGGTCTTGCTATCATATATTAATCGCATCCTCTCGCGATGCGCGTGTTTCCCTCGAACAAAATCCTCCACGGGGGCGTTATTGCGTGCGTGTAATAAAACGGTTGGTAT